TGCATTCCTGGGATGAAGCCTACTTGGTCATGGTGGATGATATCTTTGATGTGTTCTTGGATTCGGTTTGCAAGTATTTTATTGAGTATTTTTGCATCAATGTTCATAAGAGAGATAGGTCTGAAGTTTTCTTTTTTTGTTGGATCTTTGTGTGGTTTAGGTATCAAAGTGACTGTGGCTTCATAGAATGAGTTTGGTAGTGTTCCTCCTGTTTCTATTTTATGGAATAGTTTGAGGAGAATTGGTGTTAGTACTTCTTTGAAGGTCTTGTAGAATTCTGCGCTGAAGCCATCTGGTCCAGGGCTTTTTTTGGAGGGGAGACTGTTAATGACTGCTTCAATTTCCTTGGGAGATATAGGACTATTCAGTCTTTCTACCTGATCTTGACTTAATTTTGGTAGATGGAATATGTCAAGAAAGTTATCCATTTCATTTAGATTTTCAAATTTTGTGCCATATAGGCTTTTGTAGTATGACCTAATAATCGTTTGGATTTCCTCAGTGTCTGTAGTTATGTCCCCATTTTCCTTTCTGATTTTGCTGATTTGTATGGTTTCTCTCTGCTTTTTAGTTAGTTTGGCTAAGGGTTTGTCTATCTTGTTGATTTTCTCAAAGAACCAGCTTTTTGTTTCATTGATTCTTTGGATAATTTTATTTGTTTCTAATTGATTGATTTCTGCCCTTAGTTTGATTATTTCCAGCTGTCTGCTCCTCTTGGGTGTATCTGCTTCTTTTTTTTCTAGGTTTTTCAGTTGGGCCATTAAGTTGTTTGTATGTGATGTTACAGATTTCTTCTTGTAGGCACTTAGTGCTATAAATTTTCCTCTGAGCACTGCTTTCAATGTGTCCCATAAATTTGGGTATGTTGTGCCTTCATTTTCATTGAATTCTAGAAAGTCTTTAATTTCTTTCTTTATTTCTTCCTTGACCCAGCTGTCATTGAGTAGTAAGTTGTTCAGTTTCCATGTGCGTGTCGGCTTTTTGTTGTTTCTGTTGTTGTTGATGTCCAGCTTTAGTTCATGGTGGTCAGATAGTATACAAGGGATTATTTCAATCCTTTTGTATCTGTTGAGGCTTGCTTTGTGACCAACTATATGGTCTATTTTGGAGAAGGTTCCATGTGTTGCTGAAAAGAAGGTGTACTCTTTCGAGTTTGGGTGAAAAGATCTGTAGACATCTATTAGGTCCATTTGATTTAGGGATTCTGTGAGTGCTTTTATTTCCCTATTTGGTGTCTGTCTGGTTGATCTGTCCCTTGATGAGAGTGGGGTGTTGAAGTCTCCCACTATTAAGGTATTAGGATCAATGTATGATTTAAGCTTTAATATTGTTTCATTTATGAATGTATGTGCTCTTGTATTTGGGGCATAGATATTCAAAATTGTGATGTCCTCTTGTTGGATTTTTCCTTTGATGAGAATATAATGGCCCTCCTTATCTTTTTTGATTAACTTGGGTTGAAAGTCTATTTTATTAGATATTAGGATGGCTACTCCAGCTTGTTTTCTGGAACCATTTGCTTGAAAAACATTTTTCCAGCCCTTTACTCTGAGGTAGTGTTTATCTTTGTTGCATAGGTGTGTTTCTTGGATGCAACAGAATGTTGGGTCTTGTTTCCGTAACCATTCTGTTAGCCTGTGTCTTTTTATTGGTGAGTTGAGTCCATTAATATTGATAGATAATATTGACCAATGCATGTTAGTTCCTTTTGTAATGGAGTCGATGATCTTACCTTGTTTCATTGCTTGTTTTCTTTTCATTTTTGTTGGGATATTATCTGTATGCCCTGTTTTCTTGGGTGAATTTGTTTTCGTTGGATTGGAGTTTTCCTTCTAGTATCTTCTGTAGGGTTGGTTTGCTGTATAGATATTGCGTAAATTTAGTTTTGTCATGGAATATTTTGTTTTCTCCATCTATGTTGATTGAAAGCTTTGCAGGGTATAGTAGTCTGGGTTGACATTTGTGATCTCTTAGAGTCTCCATGATGCTTGCCCAGGCCCTTCTGGCTTTCATAGTTTCTGATGAGAAGTCTGGTGTGATTCTGATAGGTCTACCTTCATATGTTACTTGGCCTTTTTCCCTTGCTGCTTTTAATATCTTTTCTTTGTTCTGTAGATTTAGTGTTTTGACTATGATGTGACGTGATGTGTTTCTTTTCTGGTCTAGTCTATTTGGTGTTCTGTAGGTCTCTTATATATTTATGGACATCTCTTTCTTTAAGTTGGGAAAATTTTCTTCTATGATTTTCTTGAAAATATTTTCTGGACCTTGGAGCCTGGAGTCTTCTTTTTCATCAATTCCTATTATTCTTAGATTTTGTCTTTTCATAGCATCCTTGATTTCTTGGATATTTTGTGATTGGAATTTTTCTGATTTTACTTTTTCTTTGAGAAAAGTATCAATTTCTGCAAGTGTGTCTTCAGCTCCAGAGATTCTCTCTTCCATCTCTTGTATTCTGTTGGTGATGCTTACTTTTGTCGTTCCTGATCTTTTCTCCAAGTTCTCCAGCTCAAGAATTTTCTCATTTTGTGTTTTCTTTATTGATTCTAATTCTGTTTTCATGCCTTGCACCATTTCTTTTATGTGTTTGAATTTGGATTCCTGTCTCTCTACGATGGACTCTATTTCTTTGTTCATTTCCTTTTTGTATGCCACTATTTTTTTCTCTACTTGTGCCTCTATTTGTTTGGCTATGTTTGCCTGTGTTTCTTTAAGGGTTTTGTCTATTTCTTCTTTCTTTACCTCCAATTGACTGGCCAACTCTTTGAAAGATTTGTTCATTTCCTCCTTATGAGCCTCAAATAATTGTGCAAGCATGGCTTTAAGGTCATTTTCCTGTGCTTCTGATGAATTGGAGTATCCATCGATTTTGGGGTTTTTCTGGTGAAGTCATGATGTCCTGATTTATGTTGGAAATGTTCTTTCGCCTACCCCTGGCCATTGGCTAATCTGAGATCTTCCCTGTTTGTTTTTGGATTCTGCCGATCAGACTGGTACTGTCTCTCGAGTCTGGAGAATTCTTCAGGAAGTTGAGAGAGGTCCCGTGTCCTTAGCGTATGCTGAGGACTAGCTGTACCTGTGGGAGGAAAGTACGCAGGCGCAAACAGAGGCAAATGCAAGCGTGCATGCGTGCGTGTGTATATGTGTGTGTGTGTGTAAGTGGGTGTGGGCGTGTGTCTCGAGGGACAGAGTGATGGCTAATGTTGAACCCTTGAGTGTGTGGGAGGGGCTCTGCAATGTATATGTCGCAGGCGCTAGTGATGATCGCAGCATAATTTCTGGCATTAACTGCCTTAACTCCTCAATTAGACCCACAGAGCAGGAACTTCAATGTTCCAAGTGCCCCTCTGTTTCCCAAAGTGGGTATATGGGTGGGAGGGGGTTCGATGCCTGGCTTCTGTTTTAGAAGAACCCAGGATCAGTGGAGCTGCAGATTCTCAAGGGTGCACTCACTTACAGGCAGGACACTTGGCAGAGATCGGCGTATCTGGGCTCTCTGCTCTCTGGTTTGGCCCTGCTTCTTTGATGTGCTCCGCCAGTTCCGTGCTGCTGTCACTGCCAGGTTATGAGGTCTTGCTGCAGCTGGAGATTTCAGGGTGGTCACGTCAGTGGGAATCGGGGTAACCAGCCTTTCTGTTCTCTGGTTTGGCCCCGGTTAGTCTTAAACTGGAGGGCTGATGTGCCCCGCCAGCTCAGTGCTGCTCAGCCGCCAGGTTAGAAAGTCCCGCTGTAACTGGAGACTGGGTTGCTAGTCCAGATGCTTTCTGGGAAGTCCTGGGGTCTCTTCACTGTGCTCTCCAAGCTTCAGAGGCCCAGCGCCTGGTGTGTCTAGCTTGTATGGCGTTTCTGTCTGGTTTTGGTGAGTATATAGCGTATTCTCTGTCACTGTGGGATTGGGCGGGCCGTACCGTCAGTGATGGCGCTCCTGTGGAGCTAGTATGGTGTCTAGCAGACTCGGGCCCTGGGAGGATGGTGCAGCCGCCTCGCGTGAATCTGGGGCTCCGAGACACAGTACTGCTGGCCTTTGCCGATAAAGGACTTGGGGCTCCGCCTCAGTGGCTGTAGGCCCCAGGCAGTTAGGTCTGTGCTGAGAAAGGCGAGTCAGCTGTGCTGAGGAGGAGGGAGGTCTGGGGGAGGGGAGTGCCGAGAGATCAAAGGATCGTTTTTCACCTTCCCCAAACAAGTCCCTGGGTGACCCGAGACCAAGGTTTTCACCTCCTGCGATGTTCCCTGTTGTTTAGAAAGTCTCTCCGTTGTTTCCCTGGCTTCAGAAGTTCTTCCACTCATCAACTCAGAACTTTATCTCTTCCACAGCTCGGAAACTGTGTGTGCTAGTCGCCATCTTGGCCAATTTGATACTCTTAAGGAATAGCCATATATTAAGATGCTAAATGATGAGAATATACAGTTCAAGGACATTTACACAGATAGAAAGTTAAAAAAAAATAGGAAACAGAGAGGATAAGCTATATTATGATTGGGAAGTGTGAGATATGTGTGTGTGCGTCATATGTGTAACAAGAACTCCTTTAAAAGGTTATAAATTGCCATATTCTTTAACCATAGCTGGTCAATTCAAATCTTCTAAAAGGTTAACCTCATTTACCCATAAATTGGCAAATCTAAAAATGCTAAAACTAAACTATATAATGTAGGAGTATATTCTTGATATTATTACCATTTCTGTCTAAAGCAAAGGGATAAATATTGAACTATGTACTGTCTCCCTAGGTCTGTATCTATCAGTAAATTACTGCTGAATTTCTAATTAAATGTAAATGTGTTAACACAGTAAAATTATAGAAACACAAAATTTTAATATATCTAGAAGAATCTTTGAAATACAACTTTCAAAAATGTAGTTTAAATTTATAAATACTTGAAAAAGCATTCATAGCATTAAGATTTCTGAAAATATATCCCTTGTTTGAAGATTAATTTTGTACATACTAAAGTAGAAAGCTATGTAGATAACATTTCTCTCTTTGTTTTTTAAACAGCAAAATTTGGAGAGTAATCTCACCAACCTTATTAAGAGGAACACAGAACTGGAGACTCTTTTGGCTAAACTTATCCAAACCTGTCAACATGTTGAAGTGAGTATCCACCCTCTCCTCCATGGTGTATTTCAGATGAAAAGTGCTAGCTTGGAATATTTTCTGTCTACTCAATACTTAACTTTAAAGGAGAAATCTTTCTTAGGATTATAGAGATAGCTTAACTCATGAGAACACTTGCCAAGTCAGTAGCTTATAATCTCTTAAAATTCCAGCTCCCTCTTCTTGCCTCCGTAGGCATTCCCCCCCACTCACATTCATGTATGCACAAACACAAATAATAATACTAAAATAAATGTTTTCAAAAGAAAAATCTCAGGCTGGTGAGATGGCTTGGGGGTTAAAAACCCTGGCTTCCCTTCCAGAGGCCCTCGGTTCAATTTCCATCACCCACATGGCAGCTCACAACTGTCTGTGAATCCAATTCCAGAGAATCTGACACCCTCACACCAATACACATAACATAAAATTGAAATAAAAATTATTTTATTAGATATTATGATGCCTACTCCATTTTGTTTTCTGCATCTGTTTGCTTGGAAAATCTTTCTCTAGACCCTTACTCTGAGTTAGTGTCTATCTTTGTTGCAGACATACGTTTCTTGAATACAGCAGAATGTTGGATCCTGTTTCTGCAACCTTTTTGCTAGTCTTTGTCTTTTTATTTGAGAGTTGAGTCTATTGATGTTGACATGTAGCCCTTGGGGAGCTCAGTCTCCATAGACGCCCTATAATAAGAGAAGCAGAGGCAATCTCTTGCATAAACTCTGCCTGCTTTTTTAATACCTCCCCCTGATGTGGTAACCTTACTAGACCACAGAGAAAGAGGATCCGGACAGTCCTGAAGAGACCTGATAGGCTAGGATCAGATAATGTGGGAAGAGAACCTCCCCTATCAGTGGACTAGGGAAGGGGCATAGGAGGAGAAGAGGGAGGGATGGTGCTATAACCAGGATACAAAGTGAATAAATTGTAATAAATAATAAAAATAAAATTATTTGGAAAAAAGAAACAAATCTTTCTTAATAGTAAATATTATACAAAAGTTAATATAGAGCAGATGAAATTGGAAAGAACTGGAAGTTTATAACTCCCTCTGAACTTATTTCATGCCATTTTTTTCTATTTTAAAAATTTATTTATTTTTATTAATTACAGTTTATTCACTTTGTTTCCCAGCTGTAGTCCCTCCCTTGTCACCTCCCAATCTCAGCCTCCCTCCCTCTTCTCTCATGCTCCTCCCCAAGTCCAGTAAAGGTCCTCCTCCCCTTCCATCTGACCCTGGCCTATCAGGTCTCATCAGGACTGGCTGCATTGTCTTCCCCTGTGGCCTGGTAAGGCTGCCATTCTTAATACTGTAGATTTTAATCAGCTTCACAAAGAACACCCCTAGTAAAGCACAATTTAGAAGGTGTATTGTAAGTTTACTAAGGCTGCTAAAGCAAGTCCAGTCAGTCACAACTTGAGAGCCAATTTAATTGTATTTGTCTTGCTTTCTGTACCAGAGTCATGTCTCTTTTCTCCAAGTCAAAATATTTTATCAATAAAATTTGAAAGAGTTTTTTAACACAGTATTTTGCATATTGGTTCCATCTTTTACAATTATAATGTGGAGTCTTTGAAAATATGGATCAAATATAATTCATCTCAGAATTTCAGAGTCTGGTGCATTTATTTTGAAACAGATGCTGAAGTCTCCTATCTGCATGTTATCTATTATGTATCAATTGGTTAAAAGATCAATATAAAGTAAGAAAAGAATCTTGAGAAAATTGTTCTGCACAGATGTGTATGATGCCTCTATACTAAGCCAGTTTGAGCTTTGAATGCTTATAAGTCCATCTCCACCTGTTTAGAGAGACAATGTGTTTATTTCTTTCAGACTCATCAAAGTGCATATATTTATATATTTGTATATATACATGTTCATACATATATATTTATAAAGCAATAGTAATCAAAGAAAAAGAGGCTATTAGCTTGAGAGTTGGGGGCCATGAAGTGAGTGGAGGGAAGATACCTGAGAGAGGCTAGAGAAAAGAAAGAGGGAAGAAAGGGATGTAATTCTCTTTCAATTGAAATACATATTTAAAATATATGAAAAGTGAATCCTAGCCTCTTGACAATGTTTTAGTCATCATATCCACTGCACAGTCAGAAGTACTAGACTTCAAAGACACAGGAAAAGTAAGAAAGTAGAAAAGTAATCTAAGAAAATTCTTCTTAAGACAATATATATTAGAATTATGAGAGGAATTTTCAAACTTGAATGTGTGAAAAAAATTACCATTTTAACAAATTTCCACTAATTAGTAGCATTCAGTACATTTTTAATATTGTATATCTACTCACTAAATCCAGAAAATCCCCATCGTTCTAAACACAGTTGTTTGAAAACAGTATGCTAAGTAAAATAATACAAACATAAAAAGATAAAATTTTTATGACCTTAACTTATTTGAAGTACTTGGAATAAGAAAATTCAAAACCTAACATAAGGATTACCAGGAATTGGCATGGGGAAAAAAATAAAGATATTTAATGTGCTTATTTTTCAAGTATACAAATATTTAAAATAACTACTCTCAAAATAATGATGTTTTATAGTCATTTTATCTTCTCTAATCATTTATGTTCCCAGAACTAAGATAGCAGATTCATAATATAGTAAAAATAATAATAAGGATCATAAAATATAGTGTGTCTACAGATTCAGATAATAGCACAAATAAGTAACATCACAGCAGCCAATCAGACACTGATCTCATAGATTGTAGCTTTTTAAAATTAATCAATTAATTATTTTACTTTATATCCCAACTGCAGTTTCCCTCCCTCCTCTCCTCCCATTCTTTCCCCACCATCTCCCCTTCTCCCATTTATTCCTCCTCCCTTTCTCCTCAGAAAAGGGGAGGACTCCCATGGATATCAATGAGCCATGGCATATCAAGTCGCAATAAGACTCTCCTATTGAGGCTAGACTAGACAGCCCAATGGAGGAAAGAGTACCTAAGGCAGGCAACAGAGTCAGATGCAACCCCTGCTCCCGCTATTAGGAGTCCCACATGAAGACCAAGCTACACAATTGTTACATATGCGGAGAGGGTCTAGGTCTGTCACATTCATGCTCTCTGGTTGGAGTTTCAGACTATGTGAGCCACTTTGGACCCAGGTTAATTGATTCTGTAGGTTTTCTTGTTGTGTCCTTGACCCCTCTGGCTCCTACAATCCTTTTCTCCCCATTTCAGCAGAGTTTCTCAAGCTTCGCCTAATGTTGACTGTGGTGTGGATCTCTGCATGTTTCCATTATTTGCTGGGTAAAGTCTCTGATGATATTTACACTAGGCTCCGGTTTGCAAGTATAGCAGAATAATAACAGTGTCAGGGCGAGCTCCCTCTCATAGCCAGGATCTCAAGATGGACCCTTCTCATTAGTTGACCATTCCCTCAAATTCTACTTCATCTTTACTCCTGCACATCTTATAGCCATGACAAATTCTGGGTTGAGAGTTCCGTGGCTGAATTGGTGTCCAAATCCTTCTGTTAGAAATCTTGCAGATGACAGAAAATGGCTTTTTCAGGTTCCATACCTTCCATTGCTAGGAGTCTTAGCTAGGTTCACCCTCAGATATCTGATTTCCATTGTCCTATGTTTCTACTTCATTCCTGCCACATTCCAGCTTCAAAGCTATGTTTTTCAACAGACCAATGAAAATCCAACTATAACTTTAAACCAATGACAGGATACAGGTAAAAATTACATTTTTTTCATTCCTACTGGCACATAAAATGCAAATTAGACATTTGCCACATCCTAGATTGGTGAATGTGACAGGGAGAACTTTCTAAAATCTTCTACATATGATATAATATAATATATAATATAATGATATGATATGATGAGATGATATAAAACAGAAACTAACACATTGGAGTTGGACAACAAACAGAAGAAAAAGAGTCCAAGAGAGGGCACAAGAATCAGATACCCAGTCATTACACACTCAAGAATCTCTTAAAAACATTAAACTGGACTTCATAATGTGTATATACAGAGGTCCTTGTGTAGGCCCTGTGCATGCTGCTTCAGTCTCTGTGAATTCATATGAGCTTTGATCATACTGATTTAGAGTATTGGTTCTCGACATGTAGGTCAGGACCACTTTGGGGGTCTCATATCATATATCCTGCATATCAGATATTTATATTATGAGTCATAACAGTAGCAAAACTACAGTTATGAAGTAAACAAAATAATTTATGATTGGAGAGATCACCACAATATGAGGAACTGTATTAAAGGGTCACAGCATGAAGAATGTTGAGGACCACTGATATACAGGCTGTTGTTTTCTTGCTATTTCCATGCCCTCTGGCTCTTACACTCTTTTTGTTTCCTTTTCTGTAGGGGTTTCGTGAGCCCTAATGGGATGGATTTGATGCAGACATTCCATTTAGGGCTGAATGTTCCCTGTAATGTCTAGTTGTTGGTCTGTGTAGTTGTTTCCATTTGCTGCAAGAAACTTCTCTAATGATGGCCAAGCAAGACACTGATCTATGAGTATAGCAGAATATCACTGGGTATCATTTTATTGCTAAACTTTTTAGAACAGTAGTATTTTGTTTTATCCTAGGCCCCTGCACTATTTAGTCTCTAGTTCTTAGTCACACAAGCTGTGTTATATATAGGTTCCATTTTGTAGAGTGGACCTTAAATGAAATAAGATATTGGTTGATTACTCCCACAAATTTTATGCCACCATTGCCCTAGCATTTCTTGCAAGCAGAATACCATTGTAGATCAAAGGGTTTGTGGCTGGTGTGGTATTTACAATTTTCTTTTGGTGGCATGTAGAGTACCTTACTGTATCAAAGATGCTAGAACATAGGAGTGGAGGCTCCATGTAGGCACCAGATCACCTTCTTCATGTTCAATGACTTGTATAAGTATTATCTTCAGCCATGGAGGCTTGCTGTCAATTTGTAGAGAGCAGCCTATAGTCTTGGCAACAGCCTTAGATGTTTGGGCATTTCCCATT